TCCTCAAAACTATGTTTGCATCTTGCTGAATCTGGCAAAATAACAGAAAACAGAGTTGCCCCCAAACCCTTCAGGATCTGTAATTTCCATGTATATAGTAYTTGTTTTTCTTCTGCCCTTGAATCCAGAATAGAAACCCTGAGGGATTCTTTTACTTATTTTCATCAAAAATTCAATCAAATAGAGGTTGACTTAGTCAGCCATCAGTCACACCTCAGGTAAATCTTACCTTCTGCTTGTTCTAGAAGTCTCACGCTGCTGTGTTCCAAAGGACCTGCCTGGCATCTAATCCACATGAAGGCAAAGGYGGCAGAAGGTAGTGGAAGACACTAGTGCTCTGCTGAGCAATTTTTCCATCAGTCCAAAGAGATGATCCCTGAACAACATCTCAGAAGAAACTCACAAGCTTTGACAGTGTCTGTTAAAATAATGTCTAACTAACATCTTTTCCCATGGATACCTTGGACAGGAACACCCATGGAGAGGGCTTTTCTAAACAGGGAAATGCTTTGCTGCATGGCGCTTTGGTCAYGTCTCTTAGGAGTGAAAGTTTCCCATTTGCAGTGTTTCGTTTCAGAGCCAAGCTCTTACCAAGCCTTAAGGCATGGCAGGTATCTATTACAGAAAAATGCCTTGAAGGAAAGAAAAGGTAAAAACTAATGCAAGCTTTACTATTATAATCTATATCTAGAGGAAAGAAAATATTCTGAGTAAGGAAATTATTTCAGCAGTCTCAGACAGAAAGGCTAGAGTTTTCAAAACCAGCTCTGGCTTCCTAGGGGATTCCTGCCTAGCCTTTAATATTTTTAAGCTGATCCCATGGACAGCACCTTACTGACAGAGACTGATACTTGCACAGTTAGAAGAAAAAATGTTTAAAAGGCTTCAATTTGAGGCAGAGGTAAGTTAGGAACCTTCATGGACTTAACTCCTGCCTCTACCCTTTTGTGAATCAAGTACTTTTTCAGGAGTGATGAATATGGCGCTAGTGTCTGAGACATACAGAAAAYCCAAGACCCTGACACAAGCAAAAGAAAGAGAGGAGCCTTCAMCCAGGGAGTCTCCTCCAAATTCAAGGAATCATGTTTGAAAATTCCTTTCACGTTTTCTTCAAAAAACTCACCAAATGAGTGAAGGCAGTGCAAATCCATGGCTTTTTTTTTCTACCTTCATCAAAAGGATAAAGAGACAAAGGAAGCAATTTCCATGGTATTGCATGAAGACCTACACAAGCTGATCTGAGACAGTACGTRACTTGTGGTATTCTTTAAAATCTACTTCCTACTTTGGGGATTTGAATAACACTTGTCACCATAGTGGCTGGGGTACCCTCAGAGGAAAAAAAAATAGTTCCTTCTTTAACTTCCTTGCAAGCTTAAATRTTGCTCTTTGTTCCTCAGTTCCCTGTCAGAGAAGCCCATCTTTTGGYGGGTGTGGCAGGTACATCCATGGTGGGTTATTAAATAAATACAGACCATCTCCTCTTTATTCTCTATACACAGGGAGATGAAATTCCCAATTTCCAATTGCGAGGCCTCCTCAGGAAAACAGGAGAGAAAGAGCCAAACTTCCCTTCCCCAAGAAGGGAAAATCTCTGATTCCACCCTGAGAAGTTTTAAACAATTGTGATGAAGTTTTCATGATGGGTGTTTCCTTTAATGCACTGGCTGGGCTGTGTAGAGAATGGGACTATTAAAAGGTGAGATTCTCATTTCATTTGCTGCAGAACTCATTAGCATTAGAAAGTGAATCAGGAAATTAGGCTGACTCAATAAGCCTGGTGGTTAAACCCTGCTCTGGAAAGATGGATCCCATTCCTCATTAGTTCCTAAGCAATGTCAGACCACTCACTTGGACTAAACTGGTAAGACTATTATCCAGGTGCTCCTTTTTCAAGGCCAGTACTGGTTTTACAGAAGGGATGAGCATCCACAACTGGAATTTAAATATACAGAGACATATAAAAAACGAAATTATCTGGGGAAAAAAAGTTGCTACAAATCTCAAATTTGGGATTCCTTTTAACTGAAACATGTCTGAACTTCAAAGCCCAGTCTGCAGAGCAAGAGCTTACCTCACTGGGAATGACTAAGGTGGCAGTGATATTCATGATGCGCTCAGATGCCAGTACAATGACCACATTAAAGTGTTCCTGAAGACCTAAGTAATTCTTTTCCTTTTTTTCCTTTTTTTTTTTTTCTTTCCAAATATAACAACAAATAAAACAGTGAGTGACTAAGCTCTGCCTGTCACAGAATGGATGAGTGAGGAACCAGCTTGGGGTGTTCCTGCACTGCACTCCTTAGCGTGCCCAGAGACAGAAGTACAGCAGCAAATAAATGTGATTATGCTACTTTCCAAGATGATTCCATATGCTAGACCCAAATGAAGAAACCTTTCCAGAACCAGCCAGGCTGGTKCAGAGACATCCCAACTGGTTTTGGGCACACAAATAGAGGAACTAGATCAGATATTTTATGTGATCTACGCTATTTCAGAAAAAGGCAACACACACACGAAGGGATTATGAGACCATTAATAAGATCAGCTGCATTCCCTGTGCCTGTTTACAAGTGGCTACAGAGACTAGAGATTCCTTATGTCACCACAAACTCTTTTCATCGTGGAGCCAGCTTCCTGCGCACAAGCCTGGATGCTCCRCAGAGAATGGTGCTCGCTCCCAGCACCAGCACTTGGAGAGCTCAAGTGTCCTCATGAATGACTGACAAAAGGGCAATTCTAGAAATTGTCTCACCTTTGTCCCCAGTCTTCATCCTACTCCCACTTTCACTGTATTATAATCTCAACTTAATTTTTTTTCCCTCTTTCATTACTAGCTGAGGCTGAAAGAGTCAAGGCTGGACAGAATAACAACAGCTCTTCTGGACCAGCTAATGCAGCAGGGAWGAGCTGAACAAGCTCTCAGGTGTACAGCACCACCATCAGGTGCTTGCTCTATCATTTTTCCCTCCTGCCTGTCCCCTCAACATAGCACAGTGTCTTCATTCCCCTCACCCTGCTTCATTGCCTCTTCTTTCCTTTCTTCTCATTCTGGAAGCCCTCTCCTTTAGCCTTACCTCCTCCTTCCTCTCTCTGCGTGATGTGACTAGACAGGAGAATACAGATTTATGTATTCCCTACACGTGCTTCTCATTTTTTCCGGTCCAGCTTTGGCTGTTGATTTCTCCTTCTTGTAGGTGAGTGTCTCTCAGCTCTCTTCCTCTCTGACCTTTCCTCTGCTTCTTGTAAGGTATTCTCTGCTCTCGTACTGTGAAACATTCATGCTGTCTCATACTGTGAAATGATCTCTCTCACGCTCTCTCAAATATATTTCTAGCATGGTCCACATGCCTTCTAAAGGATATTATTTCACAATAAATACTAAGCACTGCTTCAGRCTGCTGTCTTCTCAAACTGCCTAATTGGATATGGTATTTTAAAGGTGCTTCTTAGAACATCAAAGATGCCTTAGCTATCTTACCATTTTCCTTTTCAGCTCTGTTGAAATTTATATAAAGCAATTGGGGGATTTTTCATGCAGCTTGAGGTCACCAGCACATGCAGTGCTGCCCTAGCTTGCACAGCTCGCTTACTGGGGTAGGGCTAGCTGTGCATTATTCTCCATTTCCCTTTAAAACACTCCATCTTTCTGCATCTCCAGCTCTCACAGTGAGATTGTGCAATCAGGTGACTCGGTGACAGGCTGGTTTGCTGCATTGTGGCATCCTCGGAGCAGCTACAGGGGTTTGTACACAGAGCTCCCCGGGCGAGCGCAGAGGGAACGCCAGCCAGCAGCCGGGAGCTCCTGGGCTGCACAGAGCTGTGCACGCCGCGGCCGCTTTGGGGTGTGAAGCGTCTGCTGGCCCTGCAGCTTTGGGGCTGAAGSAGCAGCCTCTCAAGAGAATACCTGCCTTGAACGGAGTCACTGCAGCCAGACATCTTGAGAATCCTTCATTGTAATTGCTTCAGGGCTTGCACAGATCCGATGTTGCCTCGTTATTGGAGCCATTTATTATTGAAACCAGACATGCTGAGTCATTAAACAGAAGTAATAAAAACATCCATATTCTGCTAAAAAACATTAGCTCATCATTTCTGGTATTACAGAAGGTAGGAGAGACCAGGAATCCTTGTGCCCGTGAGAAAGAAAATGCAGACTGCATCAGAGGCCTGGAAAGATCAGACAAGAGCCCTAAGTCAGTAACTCATCAGGAAAAGCAGGGTTAAAGGTTAAGGGCAGGTGTCTGGGCTCAAGATTGCCATTACTGTGTTTGTGTCACTTCAGGTTATCATTTTATCCCAGAATATATTAATATCTCTGGAAAGGGACAGAACTAAAACCCTCACTTTTRTCTGAAGATTATAAGGCACTTCAGAGGCACTAGCAAGCAAACTTAACTGCAGAGACCTGCTGTTACCTCCATTTTTTCATTCACAGAAAGCCACAGAAGCCACAGAAACAGAGCTTGCAAGCCCGGGTTCAGGACTGCATTCTCCTGATTTCTAATGCCAAAGAAAGACAATTTTTTTCTTGTGTCCTTGTGCTGCCAAAGAGTTAATGAAGCCAGAGAAAGGCTTTTTAAATTTATCTTTAATTTATTTTAATTTATCTTTACTACCTATGCTTTATTTTCTTACTTCTCTTCCTCAGGCACTTTTCTGAATTTGGAGAGATCCTTTTGGGTAGAAAAACACATTTTGCAGAGATTATGTTTCCCTATTTTAATACTGAAGCTACAGACAAATACTTCCTTTGATAGCTGTGTTTGATTTCCTGCACTGCAGGGATGTCCTGTCAGCGTCCAGATCCAACAGCAGGCGCATAAGGGTTACATCCCTCAGCTCATGGGGTGTGTGTTTATTTGTTTTTGTTACGGATTTCTTTGGAGGAGTAAATATGAAGAACTCGTACTGCAGGCTCACCAGCCAAGGCGCGCTGTTGCCACATCGAGTTCCCGGCCGGTGCCAGCACTCCAGGCGTTTGAGGAGCTTTTAGGGCAGGGTGCTGCCGCCACTCACCTGAGCACACACCGGCCCGCACGGGCAGGGTCCGGCTCTCCGGGGGAGGCAGGTCCCTCCCGTGGGGCTCCCCCGCGGCGTTCAGGCCCTGTGCCCCAGGATGGCCCCGGGAGGGCCCGCCGGGCCGGCCGCCCCGCCCGCGGACCGAGGGAAGCGGCTGCAGGCCGGCGCCGCGGGGCGGGGGAGGCAGTGCGAGGCAGTGCGGAAAGAGTTAAGGGAAGGTGGCGGGGCAGGCTGGCTGTCGGGAGCGAGCATGTGCAGATTGAAACCGCATCCATACTACGGGCGAGTGTCACTGGCACACTTCACCTCCCGCCGGCCGCGGGGCACCCATGGACACCGGTGAGGACACGAGCCGCGGCCGGGCGGGGGGGCCGAGCGGCGGCACCGGGAGCTGCCCGCACCCGCTGCCCTGGCAGCCGCCCCGCCGGGGGTGCGCGCGGCCCGCGGCGGCCTCCACACAGCCGAGCGGCGCGGGGGATGCGCTGCCCGGGGCGGAGGGCGGCGATGGCGCCGTTGGTTTCGCTTTCCAGCGGCGGGAGGGCCGTGCCGCCCCCGCCGGGAGGGCGCCGGCCGGAGCGAGACAAAGGCGGGCGGCCGAGCTGCAGCTTCCCCGCCGGCGGCGGGCCCCGCGGGGMCACCGGGCAGCGGCGTGTCGCCCCCTCCCGGGGAGCGGCGCAGCCCCGCAGCCGGGCCCCGCCGTCCCCCGCAGCCCCTSGGGGCGGCAGCGCCGCGGGTGTCGAGGGGCTTTTGCTCGGGAGCCCCTGGCCGCGGCTGCCAAGTTTTCGGGGCTCTGGAGGAGCAGGGTGGAACGGTTGTTGAAATCGGAGATGGTTGTCACTGGAAAGTGCCTTCTTTTTTTTTGACAAAAAAAAAAAAGAAATGTTCTCGAAGCATTTATTTTTTTAAAATTGATTTCTRTAAAACTTTATTGCAGGCGAGGGGAAATAGCTCTGAATGAGCCCAGCGTTTGCAGAGCAGAAGTGGGAGGTTGGGGGCTGGCTCTGGGCCGTTCAGTGACTTTTCTGCAACCTTGTGAATTACTCTTGTGTGTAAAGCCAGAGGTCAGGGATACATATAGTAGTTAGATGAAAATTACAGKTTTTTTTCTATTTTAAAAAAATAGTCTCAAGTTGTTTGCTCTTGTTCCATTTTTGGTATGGAAAAATATTCAGAATATCTGAATTTTTGCAAAATGGAAAATCTGATTCCTTCTGTCCCCCATTTGCTTATTTACTCTAGGGTTTTGAAAATTGTCTCTAGGATGCTTAGGAGCAGGGATGCTGGGGAGGCTGCCCTGTACTGCTCATGTTAAGCTGGACCGTTACACTGGGACTTCCTAGAGAGTATTTCACATTGCTGGTCCAAAACTGCTGGGGATGTACAAACTTGTTAAGCCTCATAATTACACAAGAGATGCAGTAAAACTCTGTTACGTGAAATACTTTGTATTGTTCTCCAGCCTAATTTATTTGACAGGTTTGTTCTGTTTGCCTCTTATTTCTGAGGAAAAAAGCAGTCCCTGCAAAGCTGATTTTTTTCACAGGCAAGGTGGCAACAGCTCTGTGACTGCCAGAGCTGTGTACATCGGGGATTTGCAAGAATGGATTGCCCAAAGAGCTCCATTCTGTGGTTTCCAGGAAYACAAATTCATTAATATATGTAAAACATCAGTTAGAGAGGGGGCTAGTTGCTCTTTGGTGGTAAATAGGAAGTAATGAAAACAAAAATTACCATAAGGTGTTAGAAAACAGACTTATTGACATGGAATCCATAATGCATGTAGCCACTTTCAGGCAGTGCTGAGGAAAGCTGTGTAGGAAGTCTGTGAGATACTCTTGTGCCCAGGACACATTCTGAAGGTCCTTCCAGTGGCTTGTCCCACTGGCTTGTCCCAGTGAGAAAATATGATTTCTTCCACAGAGAAATGTCAGTTTTCCTGTATTAGGTGACAGCAGCTTGCTACTGTGGATAAATTAAGATCTTTCACTAAATTTGAAAATATGTATTTTCTCCCTGAGAAATATGTGCTCTCTGTGCATATATCTGAGAATTTCATAGTTCTCTGTTGAGGCTGCTACTGAAGAACATGTTTATAGAAGGGGAAACTGAGGTAAAGGAAAATGTCATTTCATGAGTAGCTGTCAAATTGAAACACAAGATTTAACTCCCAATAGTTTGGTTTAGCTAGTGGCTACAGCAGCTTCCTAAACRAAGGTCAGCAAAAGTGTTAAAAACAGCTTAATCAATGTGAAACATTCTGGGATCTTCTGATCACACGCATATTGAAAAAGTGTGTAGTATTGTCTGGTGGAGGGGAAGTGGAGGGATAAGCAGGAGTTAAGGTAATACTGCTTATGACTGCATAACTTCTTGCTGAGGCTCTGGCAGCATGTCCATAGCCTTGGTCAATACTGCTCTTCCCACTCTGCTGTGGGCTGATGGTGGAGGCAGAAAACAAGCTGCTCCCTGGGAGAGTTCAGACCTTGGAATTCTTATGGCAAGATCCCATGGCGGTTTACAGAAACGGTAAAGGGAGTCTAAAACAAGAGGTATGGATAGCACAGGCATGTGGGTTGAGGGTAACCTAGATCTCTGCATCCATATGGAAATGGTACCTGGTAGTGGGGACTCTGCAGTTTGGCTGACAATGTCATAATGTGATGTTGTGCCAAACAGTGAAAGGCAAATTTAACCTTGACAGGAGATGCAGGTTTCTGGCTTAGAGTCTAAGGGAGGAAGAGGTTTTTGGAGGTGATGAACTCGACGACATATGGAGTTTTTGAGATATCTTTTTACAATCTGTACTTTAATTCAGCATCTTGGAGATGTTCTAGAGAGTGAAGATGTAGGGATTGCTTTGGCCTTGTAATTTGTGGATCTGCTTATTCCCATACATCAAGAAATGGGGAGATGAGTTGTTTTCCAGCGTTGTAAATGTGCTTTTAATACCTGTCTATRTTGTTAAGACAATGACTGTCCTCAGATTGGGTATTTCAGGGCTGCTGGCAGGCACTGCATTGTGTCCAGGAAGGGTGTTTCTTCTCATGGTGTAATTAGTCAGATGAATTTAATTTTTGCCTTCCTCCAAAGCGTTGGAAATGAACTGCAACTGGGGACTGAGCATGCCAGGAAGAAGAAGGTCTGGAGGGGGAGGGAGAGGAGACTGTGTACTCTTCCTGCAGAAGCCCCCAACTTTTTGCTATCATCACATGCTTTGATGGCAAGTCTTGCTTGTGTACTCAGAACTGTACTTAATGCAGAGTCTGGGGCCAGGCTTTGTAGGTTTTCTCTTTTTTTTCTGCAGAGACTCATTTGAACAGTCCTTTGCAAGTTTTGGAGTTGCCTCACTGGCTGTGGTGTGCTTTCTTGTGCTCCTTTTTTGCGGCATGCACATCTACTTTCCTTAGACTAAAGAACTAATGTCCTTACCCAAGTTGCTGAGCTGTGTTGCAAGAAACTGCATGAAATTTTAGTAAAAGATCTGCAGAAGGTTTGACTAGGTTTTAGGCAAAAGAATCCTTTCTGTTGCTAAACTGTGACAGCAGAAATTTTTCCTCATGGAAGATGATTGGAGAGCATCCTGGAAAAGCTTCTAAAAAGGAGAAAACATATTGAGGAAGCCTAAAGAATGGTGGCATGGAGGAGACCTTGTTCTGATGATGAAATCATAGAAGTAATGGAAAATGTTATTATTGCAAATTGTACCTTAGTATTCTTTGTTTCTGGATTGCCTTCAACAAATGGCATGTTTAAGAAAATTAGATTTAGTTGTTTTGTTTCTGTTTTCAGTCTCAGACAGCCTTCTATTACATCGTAAGAGGAGAGGTAACAACATGGCTAATTAAAGGRCAGCAGTGCTTCATTCCTTAGGGCTAATTATTCTATAGAAAATGGGTCAATTACTTAAAGAAATTGTTTGCCAGCAGGAGGTAGGAAAAGCCTTTATTCCCACTCCTCACCATCCTTTAGTGGAAAGCATTTTCTATCTCCACAGCAGTTGCAGTACCTTGTTAGGCTTTCAGGTGCCAGAGCCATGTCCTGCACATAGGGAAATGGCACCTGAGCAAACTTATATGTGGTCTCTTCTGTCCTGCATGTTCATGTAGAGCTGCAGATGAGGCAGTGTCCAGTGGTGTTCCTGGCTTGTTTCTAGAGTGAAAGAAGTTGAACAATGCAAGAGGGACTTCTGTTTCAAAACAAAATTTGCATRTTGTAAAAGGTGAAGTATGGTTTATTTCCTTGGTTCTTTTGAAAGAAGTTTGGTCATCTGGCTAATGTGTAGCTAATGTTTTCCAACATAAAAGGTATTATCGGTTTGTGGCTTGCTTGGTACAGGTTTGTAAATGATCCCTTTTCAGATCTGCTTCCTGTATGTGTTTTAGTATTCTCTGATGGCTTTATCACCTGGCCATGCTGCTCGCTTTAGCTCTGCAGGCTCGGTACAGACGGGGTGAGGGAGCAGAGGGCTGGTTAGCCATGTATGTCAGAAATGAACTGGTCTGGTTTTCACATTTCTGTGATGATATTGAGRCCGAAGTATCCAGATGGTTCCTGAGCTCCTAGGTAAGGTGGCTGTGCAGGCAACTACAAAGAGTCTTGAAAGAAAGCCAGACTGGGCAAAGGCTTTGGCTCTGCAGGAGCAGATTACCAACATCTGTGCCAATTGAGAACAACGCTCTCTTTCTGGTTGGTCAGAGCACAACATTCCTGGTTGTAAATGATACACCCAATAATGTCTGTTGTGAGCCAGAGCTTATGCACCTTGCCGTCCAGCTAAAATGAGTGTAAAAGGCTTTGCAGGTGCATGCTGCTCAGTAACATGTCCTCAGAGGCAAAATAAAAGCTAGACTGCTTTAAAGATCTCTTCGTAGGCATATCTGAATGAGCATACCTATCAGTTACTAGGTCAGAGGTGTCTAATCATAGCATAAAAGGGGGAAGTGTTTCATGTTACCCTTTCTTTTGTTCTGGATTTTTATTGGTGTCAGTGCACAAGAGTTCACCACAACCTTATTTCAGAACTCCCCCGCCCTCACATGCTTCTGTCAAAGCTGGATTAAATGACTGAGGGAATCTTCCCTACCACAAATACTGCTGTCTTGCTTTCATTGCATAAGATCCAAGCATTAGTAGTCACTAGGTGAGTGTTGATAGCATAGCCTGGTGAAGCTGCTGTTTGACTTCTTCCTTGCTGGATCTTTCCTCTCAGGTGTGCCATTTACTGGACGTAGCCTATATGAAGAACTTCTGTGGAGCACCTCTCTGTCCTGTTTTTATGATTTTGCTGGGAGCATGATGAAGTACTTCTGAAAGAGGAAGCTCTCTTTAATATGGCATAG